CAGGAGAAATGGGGCTGCATCATCTCGCCGTCCAAACTCCAAATTCTCCGTCCAAATTCTGTGACTAAGGCATGGATCTTTGGTGCTCTTCTTGAATCCCAGCACTTCTGTCACTCTGGATTTGACATTGTTGTTGCAATGCACTATAAAACACACTATGAAATCTGATTTTAGCGGCCAGAACATCCAGACTGAGACGCATCTGTAAAAATCTGATTTGATTTGCATTTCAAACCACCTCCAAATGTGGTGTGGATCTGATTTGCAAAAATCAGATTTCATGTGCTTATTTGCTGTCCACGCTATCAAAAATCAATCTGGATACAATCTGGATATGCCAAAAATCAGATTTGGACTGGCAGTGTGAACAAGACCTGTGTAGGAGTTGGGTTGGAAGTAGATCCTGAATGTTCTACTTGTTTCCCTCACAGATTACCCCCACTTGGAGACGAGCAGAAGAAATGTGAGTTAAATAATAAGAAACAGGAGAACCAGACTCAGCTTTTACACTCACAGGCTTTGCGCATAGAAATAGATGAGGAAACTGTTCTCAAGACACAGTAAACAGCCACTGGATAATGCAGTAAACCTGGAACTTCAACTTATCCTTCAACACCTTGACCACTCAGTGACCTACACATTAATCCTATTCTTAGACTTCAGCTCAGCATTCAATCCCATCATTCTGGATAATAAGCTCTCCCAACTCAGTGTTCCTGCCTCTACTTGCCAGTGGGTCACCAGTTTCCTCACAGGCTTAGAGCAGCAGCTCAGGCTGGAAAAATTCTCATCAAGTACTTAAACTTAAAAGTTCTGGCTGCCCCTAAATATGTGTGCTTTTCCCACTGCTCTTTTCACTATACAGTAATGAGTGCACATCCACAGATTCCTTTATTAAGCCTTGAAGTTTGTAGATCACACTATAGTCACTAGTTGTGCTGCACAGAAATGGTTGCTGACCTCACCTTCAGCAAAACAGCCAAATCTATGTGGAGCAATACATGTAAATATTTAAAATATAAAGATGACACATTTGTATAACAGTATCATTTGTTTTAGTTTAGACATCTATACTCAAACCTCCCCTGGAAAAAAATAACAGGAAGATAATCAAATAATCAGTACACTGAGACTAAAAGCTCTTAGACTAAAACGCAGTTAAGTAATCACTGTAGAATGATTAGTTAAAACTATACTACTCTCCTGGGACTTTTCCTTATTTGTCTTATTCGTTAAAAATGTGTTATTTAACATGCTAAAGTCAAAAGATCAGTCTGGAAGAAATCTACCAAAAAGGCTGTACCGGCTCATAAGGTTTCATGTTGGTGAGACATGCTGGGCTTTGATGATCATAATTTGTAGATACTGCCTAACCAGCTCTAAGCAGTTTCAGCAGCTCACAGAGATCAGCGTGAACTACGAGTATAAAAAGGCATTAAGTTCACACGAAAAACTAAAAGGAGGCTGATCAACTTAGTTACAAATAATGATCATTTGCACAAATGAAGATTTTTCACTCATCATTCTAAAACTGTGGAGAAAAAAATCATACATGCAAAAATGAAACCAACTGTTCAGCTCACGAGACTTAATTCACTCTCTTTTCACATGTCAGACTGTTTAAAAGTTTGATTTATAGCCGGTCAAACTGTAGACTTTTATTAAACCATTAGGATCTTTTATACTGTGATATCAACCCATAAAAAAAAACAAAACACTTTACAAAACCATTAGGAACCAACAGAAACACTCAATGGTTTCTATGGGGATTTCTTCAGCAGAGTTCAAATCTACACAACTCATGTGACAAAATTATGATTAAATTTCAGTGAAAGACAAGAAGTTTGCATTTGAATGTAATCCTGCTGGTAATCACTCTATTTTTATAATGTACCTGTAATCTGATTACTGTCTTTGGTCCTGTAACTGTAACAGAATACAGTTGTTTTTTTGTTTTCCAATTAAGTAACGCTGTTATATGCGTTCCGGAAATATGGTCCATGCTCCACCACAGTCAACGCTTAAGCACTAACTGTATTAGGTTTCAATGGACCCAAAGAAAAAGATGATCATTGGTCATTCCAAAACCAGTCCCTCCATGCTAACATTTGCAGAGCGTGACCCCTATTACTTAAAGGGGAGTAAATAAATACAGGGATCAACTCCGGGACGCCCTCGTAACTCTCCAGAGTAAGGAGAAAGCTGCCATTGCCACTGAGAGAGTGTGCTTAGTGTTAGGAAGCCAAGCTTTAAGCTTGCCACAAAAGTTATTTGAATTATTTTGACATAATAAAGGTTCTATTTTGCTTCTAGATTCCTTCTAAAACCTTTACATTTTGTGGAGGTCCTTCAACTTTAAAAAGATTCTACATCATATTTAATTTACAAAAATGGTTCTATCCATTGAAAGATGGTTCTTCTATGGCATCACACAAAGAACCCTTTTTGAAAGCGTTACTTTTGAGAGTGATGTGGAAAGCATCTACAATATCTTGCTGATGAAACAATGGACACAAGTCAGTAAACTTATTTTTAACTTCTCTAGCAACTTTGTTTAAAGTACATTGTGAAAAGGTTTTGTAAAAAAAAAGTTTTTATTCACACAACCAAAATAAAACTTGTAAACTCTTTCCTCTGTTCTGCTAAACATATTGCACTTTGATGGATTTTTTCCATACGTCTATAATGGAGGCAGTGGATAGGCTAATAGAGCAGAGGCTGAAACGACACTAGGGATTGGCCTCCATAGATACACTGTAAGACAAAGCTTGAGAAGCCTGGGACAAACCTCAAGAAAGACTCCATTACCGGCTCAGAACTGAGACTCAGCACGACGCTAGTTAAACTCTCAAGACCAAGCCACAGGCACGCCGCAAACTCTTTTTAAATAGAACATGACACAGGTGATGCTGTTTGCCAGTGTTTACTATTGGGCTGCTGTCATCCTCACTCTGAAGACAGAGGTAGGCATAGCAGATAGGCTGATCACAGGCTGGTTAATGGCTCTGTGTCTCCCCCCTGTGGCAAACCGAGGCCGAACTGGCTGATCTCTTGCATTCATTTTCTCTGAATCAGATTCTCAATTTGTGAAACGAAACGTAGACAACAGTCTTTTTATTTATCCGCTAATAACACAGAGCACACTCAGTGATGTGATAAATACGCTATCACAATCACTTCGCTCGGCTGAGCAATCTCTTACTTGCCTGGTAAATTTTGGTGAATTAATTAAGTATTTTTGTGGTAAACAAAATGTTTGCTGTTTGCTCTTGTTTCAGTCTTAGTCAAAAATCTGTCCATACAGGCAAAAAATTCCCCCACTTATGTCACTGTTTCATAATGACAGCATAGCTCAAAAATGCTAGACAGTACATGACAGGTGTACGCACATAAAAGTTTTCATTAAAACACAAAAAAGCTGATTAAATAGCTGAAAATGTGTGTTTCAGTAGTGACAATTTGTAATGTTCCACACTGATTTTCAGACTTTGGGACACATTTACTTCAAAACAGTGGGATCTAACTGCTCATCACGTGGCCATGAGAGACAGGGATATATACTGAAACTGTCAGAAATTTTAATTAAGGATAGAAAATGCCACGTGTGTGCTGGCAGCAGCACAGCGATAGTTTCCTAATGGTGAAGATCACTGCTTTCATACAATTCCAACATTCTGATATTTTTATTTTATGGTTAGAGAAAAAACAGGTGAGTCTCTTATTTTGAAGTCCTAAAGAACATTTTTTAAAATGAGAGAAACATTATAAAATACACAATTCATTAATAATTATTCTTTTATTTGTATACATGATACATACAATGAACAATAACTAAAACAATAATTATTGTTATCATTATTATTATTAGATGTGAAGCACCTCATGGTCTTGGCTTATAACTCACTCGTTCACTCACTCACTCGCTCACTCACATATAAAAAGACTGTCCACAAGGGGGAGCTACTGTTACTCTTGTAACTTGAGTAAAAACAGAAAAGTCTATTGAGCACTGAGGACACGTGAAAAGCTTTCTAGGACTTTTGGGGTAGTACATGCTGATGCTTTGCCTTAATGACACTGTATCCTTGTTATAAAAAAACTATTAGCAACAACAATAATAATAATTCTGATTATGAACAACAAAACAAAAAAATAATAGGCTAACAATAAAAAAGAAATAATAGTAATAGTTATTACATAGTAATTAAAAGTAATTCCAGTAGAAAAAAATGTAACTACAAAAACTAGTAGTTAGTCACTGCGTCAAATAAAACAGCAAACATAGTCATGCTTCACTAACTACCCCGTTTTGTACACATTTCTATAAAGAGAAGCAGAAAAAAGAACCATAATAAACTGTAAACAGGATCACTTCATATTGGATGCATTTTAGGGACACTGTATGCTGTGAAAAGGTCAGTTCACAGACAGATTTCCTGATTCTCTGCTGAATGTATGGCTCTTTTGAAAAAAAAAAAAGATCAAATCTATACAAATCTACCTTAGATTTAACTGTTCCTTATATTTTCCTCCCATGTGAGTGAACAGAAAGAAAAAGCCAGTATAAAGGAATTGAATGTGGCTTAGCCAATGAGATTTTAGTATTGCTAGACATTCCATTTGATTCTATTAATTATATGATATTCTGTGCTGACAGTCCAACTGTCAGTCACATTAAGTAGCCACAACTACTAGAGCTTTTCCCCCAACTTAAAGGGTTCAGAAATGCCCTTGCTCTGGCAGATTTTGAATGTCACACCCCCTGTTGCGCCAACAGATTGCACATGTGCTGGCTCAAAAATATCGCCCTAAATGTCTTGTCTTTGTATGTTTTTACTTAAATACAGGTCAAAATGGATTTACAAATCACTGTTTTCTTTTTTTTAGCTGCACTTCACAAACTGTTCAAGCTTTTTTAGAATTGAGGTTTTTAGTTTTTGCCTTTAAACCACAAAAAGGTGAAATGCACTAATGTGACAAACGCACATTTGGTCAAGTTTTTATTCTACAAGACTGTTTATGTTCTTGGCAGCTCTTAGAGCAGACTTCATAGCCGTCTCAATCCAGCCATGAGGCATCGCCGTATGCTCTCCAGCAAAATGAATCCTCCCCTCGCTATGGAACAGATCCGAGGCATACTGAGTCTGCTGGTAGGGAGTGTAGATGGCAAAGGCCCCGTGGCTGTAAGGATCCAGCGCCCACTTCTTCACAATGCCGCCAGTGCAGAGTCGCCGGATGCCCTCACCGTGGATCTTCACCAAGTCATCTAGCACCATGGCCATCAGCTCGTTATCTGGCACTCCCTGGAAAAGTGTGGAGTCATCAGAACAGGTGTAGGAGGCCAGCAGGGCACCCCCTTGTGTCCCTGAGAAGGTATGGCTGGGGTAGTAAATGAACCTTGAAGGCATGTCTGTGATGCTCCTGCCTCCCTTAATGCCTTCTTTCTCCCAGAATCTCTCACTGAAGCTCAGCACAACCTTGGTGGAGCTGGTGTAGTGCACTGAGCGCAGAGCCTCCATCTTTCGGACCGACAGAGGAGGCTGGAACTCCATGAAGAGCGAAGCTTTGGCTGTCGCCGTCAGTAATGCGTAGTCGAACGTTCGGCTGGTCAAAGTGGAGGGGTTGCGCCAGTCTTGATACAAAACCGTAACATTGCTGCTGGTTTGACTAATGCGTTTGACCTTTGATTTAAGGAGGATTGTTGCGTTGAGTGTTTCATAAAATTCTCTGGCTAAGTGATCCATACCACCTGAGATTTCATAATATCTGAAAGAAATAAAGTAATATTAAAAAAGATAAAGGTCATAGAAATGTAAATATATTTATTAGACTACACGTTTTATTCCGTTCTCTCACACAGAGAAAACAGTAAACACACACATTCCTTGGTCACATAATGACCTCAACAGCAGCCTGCTGCTCTAACAATAGTCATATCAATCGTCAATCAAATAGAAGGCTCTAAACAATGGCTAGCAGGTATGGCAATCTGTTTCCAAGGATGGGACAGATTTGTTCTCAACAAACCTTTTGAAACATACGTCCTCATTAAATGATCATAAATGCCTTTTAAACAGCATGATGCAATTTCTTCTTCAATTGCTTCACTGCTTGTAATTGCTAGCTAAGGAAGCCTAGCTACCTGGAGCATAGCAGCATTACCTTTACCCTCTTGACTGGCTAGATTACATCTGCATCTAGCCAATTACCTGTAGTACAAAGAGCTGATAACATTAATGATTAATATGCATTAAGGCCTATTTACACCAAGTCTAAATTTATTTTAAAAAAAAGGAAGAAAGAAAAAAAAACACTTTAAGTTTGGAAACAAACACATGCATATTGATGTCGTCTTTCACGTCTATCCTAGGTTTTTCATGCCTGGTCTTTTTGTAGAATGGTTGAATAGCTAAATTATTATATTAACTCACAGATGAAGCAAATAATTTTGATTATCTCAACAACTTTGCATTTAAAGGTGTGAGATAAATTAGACAGTATGTGAAAAGTCGGTTCTTGTCGTCAACAAGTAGAAGCTTTGGGAGAAATAGGCAGGTGAAGACCGATAAGATAAGATAAGATGAGATAAGATAAGATACGATAATCCTTTATTCCCACAATGGGGAAATTAACAGACCTGAGCAACTTTGACAAGGGTCAAATCATTATGGCCAGACATAACAGCATATTAGGCATAATGTTTTGGCTTGTCGTTGTATATCCAGTGTATGTGCCTTTTAGTTGCACAAAAAAAGAAAAAATGATAACATCTTTGTTGTTTCATTTTTTGTAACTCTTCCATGTTCATCCCTCATTCTCAGAGGGTTGGAAAAACACACTAGACATGATATACATCAGACTTCACTTAAAATTGCATCTGTTTTTTCTCAGTGGAAACAGGCTTTTACACATGTATCAGTGCACCCAAAGTATTTTCTGCAGAGTGTTACAGCAGGACAGATTAGCAACGTTTAAGAACGTTTATAAACCGAAAATAAAGCTGCAATACAGAAAGTCTGGTCACTCTTCTTAGTACAGTATACTTACATTGTATCATCACTGATATCTGACTGGATGTAGAGTGTCTCTGTGAGGCCAGTGTAAAAGAAGCTGTTCTCATTAAGGATGTCTCCAATCATACGCAAAGCTTCTCGACTCAGGTTGCCTTCTTTTACTAAATACTCCTGTGAAGTCAAACAGAAATCTGTTAGAACCAAACCTGCTGTACATCTTTATTTTAAATATTAGAATATATCACAGGGTGTATTGGGTTTATTACCTTAACAGAATATGAATCATACTTCTCCATCGTCTTTTTACAGCCATATTTCTTCACATCATCCCTCATCTAGGAAAGCAATGTAATTCATTTTCAACCAAAGTAGAAAAAAGATAAAAATGTAATGACAACATGGAGGTTTTAACTAAACCCAAACTATTTCACTACTTTTTGGTATTAGCTTTTTTGATATCATCTCACGGTTACTGACCTTCCACAATGCCATGTCAAAAAGCTGACTGGCTGTTTTCCCCTTCTCATGCTCGCTTAGGGTGTAGTTCAGCACTTCAGGATTTTCTTTTACTTTGTAGGTTTTTACAAGCAAGCCATTGATATAATAGTAAGTGTTAATGTCTTCTTCGATGAAAGGATTCAGTTTCAGTCCCATCTTTGACACAAATGCCATGAGAATCCTGGAAAGTAAATGAGATTAGAAAACCGCAGTGCCAGACTTGTCTTTCAAATAAACACTGCATGCAAACTCTCCATCTTCATCAGCTGAGATATATATTCATATCTTATATTCTTAGCACATATAAGACTGGACACTTGAAAAAATGGACCTGGTACTAATATGTGATATGTGACGTCACCTACTGATTAATGCTTCTTATATGCCATGTTTATGAATGGAGCAACGATAGAAAATTCTGCCATCGCTACGGCTAATGATAGCATGCTATAGCAGTCAGCGGGACATTCCAACAAGAGTGTAATTTTCCTAATTTTTGCCATCAGCCTCAGCAAAGGAATAAACTGGGTGTGACATCAATGGGCACTGAATGCTTGTAAATGAAGTCCAGGCATGCTTAACCTTCATTGAAAACACACCATTAGAAACATTAACATGTGATCAAATCCCTTTCTAGGATAAAACAGTCGTTAACATCAACATTTACATGGCTACATGCTGCCGTTTGTCATGTATCATCACTGACTGCAGCATATCTGCTACGAGGCATGGAGCTTTTTTTTCCAGCAGTAACACATAAACATGACATAAGACAAAGGGCTGAATTACGATATCAAAAAAAATCTTCTTGTGTAGTTCTGCGTTGCAAATGTGCTGCAGAATTTTACAAATTTTAAGATGCTTCAAAAATGTATACACTGAGACACTGTTTTATATGCTGAACACTTTAGTGCCAATGTTTCTGAATGTGTGGCAATCTAAACATCCTGTGGTGTCTGACTGACAGGAAACGCTGTTTATTTTTTAAACTCATGACTAACATATGGTCGATTATTCTTGTCATAGCAATAATGAGTCATGACAGAAATAAGGCTGAGAACCACTGATCTAGGTCATGGCTGTCAGAACAACAGGGGTGAGCTGGCATTTCACTCTGTCCTGGGGTAACACCTCACATTCAATCTCCACTCTCCCTAACAGCACGTCCCACTGACCTATAGACCCAAACAGACAGTATGTCAAACTCAGCGGTACACTTTCAGAAAAAACTACACCTTTCAGGTTACACACACTGTTACGACCTCCATCGTACCACTTGAGTTTTGTTTTTTGTTTTCAGGCATTAGACATAACGTAAAGAGTAATGCTACTTATGGTGGTATAGTTCATAGTGTTTTGTATAGTTTATAACCTATATTTTTTGTATTTATTGTCTGTTTGTACTCAGCGGTACACTTTCAGAAAAAAACTACACCTTTCAGGTTACAAATGCTGTCACTGGAGTGGTAACCTCAAGGGAACATCTTCAGTACCTTTATTTAGAGAAAATAAATGTACTATATACTGTTGCAATTATTTTTAAGTTGCGCTGACCGCCAGTGCTATCATAATCAAATCTCCCTCCCTTTTCTGCAGTTGGGAAGGTACGAGTATATCTTTTAGTTGCAGGTGAGATGGAACACAGCAGTATATTCACGTTTATTTTATGCTCAGTATATAGAAGATTTAATTATATTTATTTCCAGTACTCCCCGTGACCCAGAAGGATGAGCGGCTTAGAAAATGTGCGTGTGTGTGTGCATGTGTGTGTTTCCAGTACTAAATGAAGACAGAAAACCTGCTGACTCAAAGCACATGGGAGCCTGAATGTAGGTGGCGAAGGGTAATCTCAGCCTCTCAGCCACTGCTCTATTTATCAGTGATTCCAAGCCTGTTAAAGCCGAAACCTTTGCCACAAATTTGATTAAATATTCTAATGTATGAAGAAATAGTGAATATCACAAGTGGATATACTGCTGTGTTTCACCTCATCTGCTCATGTAAAAATTAGTCCAACTAGCTCTTTGGCCAGCATGCTTCAGAGAAAGCCTTTTCCGCTTAGCATTTAACACGCTTTAGCCCCACCCTGGGGAGCTGACTGACAGCTTGAAGTCTGCAAAAATTAACATGCAGTCAGCTCAGAATGCAAAATTTTCAAAATCATTCTGTCACAGAAAGAGTGCAGAAGGGCAAAAACATGTAAGTGCAAAAGGGGGAAGTGCTGTTTGCCATTTTAGATTTGAATTTTGTCATCTAGTGTTTTCTTTGATAATGCAATGTCAAATGCCTTATTAGAGAGTGCAAATGTATATAAGCTAAACAACATTTTAAGTATGATGTTGACATAATTACATATTACAATTTTCATTTTAATTTTACAATTGCTGTGCTTCCATGATGGACGGTGGCCCATTGTTTTTTGTCCTTCAGAGAAGACCATTCCTATCTTGCTGCTGTTCTACCAACACTAGTTCCGCTAGCCAAATCAATTTTGTGAAAAACATTTGCCCTACAGCTTTTGAAGGTGTGGTGCCACCTCTTATCTTGGACAAGTATTTAGGATTTGGGTTAACTCACTTGTGAAACCATGGGATCCTCATGGCACCAAGTTCTGCATACCAGCCCTCTCTTTTCATCCTATAGGTCTCTATTCTTCCACCTATACGATCGCTTGCTTCTATAATTGTAACCTATTGATTCAAATGCACAGTGGGTAAGAATTCAGGAAAAAGATTAGGAGCACTCAGATTACATAGAGAGGACAGAAATATGGTGAAATATATCAGTCATTTATTGTTTACTGCAACAACATTAAGAGGGTATATTTAGTGCATGTTTACTGTTTGCCTGCAAGAACAAGATTAACCTAATAAGGAAGAAAACACAGATTTAGTTTCCCTGTGTCTTTAAGACATGGCTGTGGTGAGAAGGCATGACAGTATAGTTGAACTTTGACTTAGCTAAAGCAGATGTGTCATCTAAATATAAACTATTTCAAAACATGTGAATGAACAGAAAGTATAAACAAACGTTTTTTAAATTAACCTACTGTGCACTAGTAATTCTGAGGAATATGAAGGCTGTGAAGTTGCAGAATGAAATGACTGTGGTTCAAAGTGTTTAATGTAACAGAATACCTTATGTCCAGCATCCTCCAGGACCTTGGCTGCAGTAAGTCCAGCAATGCCTCCACCAATGATAGCCACACTGTGAGGGGTCTTTGTAGGGGGAAGACCTTGTTCTATTATCTTACGAAGATCTTCATAGTCAGGGTCTTGCAGGCATTCAAAAAGAGGATCTTCCATAGACCCACTGACATTGAAGACTATGACCAGTATGATCACAACAGGAACTGAAAAAAAAAACCTAAATATTAAACATGACTTAAGTCTTTCCTAACCTAAAGCTTCTTCACGTACAGCACAGATAACACTGCATGCCCACATTTCTGCATATATACAGTATTTGTATTCACCGCCCACTTGATTAGAAACACATTACACTCAGTGGGTGAGCTGTACAAAACTGTGTGGCGGGGGGGGGGTGTCAAGTTAACTCTTCAGCCAGCAAAACAAATTCCATGGAAATGCAGTTGCTGGTTTGGCCTCTTTATATAACCAGCCTACAATATAATAGAGTAAAATGTAATATCTTAGATATTAAAACAATCTCCTGAGATTACTAATGTTCAATTCTGCTGGTTGTTAGGAGATTCTACAGATCTTGCTGTGTTGCTAATTTTTACTTCAGCATTTCTGAATCTGAAGGTTGAACATGATTTAATGTTGAACTGTACACCCCACTACTTTACCAACGTGTTTTCTGCCTTAATTGCAACTTACTGGTAACAGGACAAATACCGCTAATAGATATTTAGATATCTTAAGCACTATTACATAACAACATGAACCCAAAGGGGAATTAAAGGCGAGATGGCAATTTTACAACAGTCCTGTCTTTTTTTGATGGCATCCCTTGCAGGTCTTCCTGCCACATCTTTGTAAGTGTACAATTACAAACTATAATCCATGGATATTCAGTTCTGTTCCTGGAGGGTCAGAAACCAGCAGCCTTATATATATATATATATATATAAAGGGTGTATACGCATAAAAATGATGCTAAGCTAAACAATGATAGAACTACATAAAGACAGATATTTATGAAACTGAATCTTGATTGAACTTGACACAAAAAGTACATACTCCTCATACTCTGAAGGCGGAGTAATGCACATTTGGGGGGGAGTGGGAATTACTGGCAACTAGTGGAGTAGAGAGGTACTACACAATTAACTGAAAATGAGACTTTTTCTAATGGTCCCTTCTGTATCCAATAAACCTACAAAGCACAGCACAAAGCATTGGCTCTTCAACTGTAGAGTTGAACTGTAGAAGTTTGTGTGTTTTAAATAGATGGTCAAGTTGAATGTACTTTTTCACTATTAATGCAAATCATGAAATGATTAGGCTTATTCTTACAAACATGACAAATACTACTTGAAAAATACAAGTTTAAACCTAATTATTTATTTTTTGGAAATACAAACAATAATGCCTGGTTGAAAAATTAAAAGTAAACCTGAATGTTTTAACTGATTTTAAACTGATTCTTAGTTACATTTTCTAGTTTAAGTGCACAAATTCTCATTGCTACACTGCAATAATACCTGTAAATAATGTCAATGTAAAACCATCTGCACCTTGTTATATAATATATGAAAACGTATTCTGTGGAGTGATGAATCACGCCTCTCTATCTCGTAGTCTGATGGAAGAGTCTGGGTTTGGCGATTGCCAGGAGAACATTACCTGCCTGACTGCGATGTGCCAACTGTAAAGTTTGGTGGAGGAGGGATAATGCTATGGGGTTGTTTTTCAGGGGTTGGCCTAGACCCCTTAGTTCCAGTAAAGGGAAATCCTAATGCTTCAGCAGACCAAGACATTTTGGACAACTGTATGCTTCCAAATTTGTGGGAACAGTCTGGGGAAGGTCCATTTCTGTTCCAGCATGACTGAGCCCCAGTGCACAAAGCAAGGTCCATGAAGACATGGCTGGGTAAGTTTGGTGTGGAAGAACTTGAGTGGCCCGCATAGAGCCCTGACCTCAACCCCATCAAACACCAACTCGTTCTGATTTAGCAATGCCTGAACTTAGTAAAAACTTACATTACAACTAGCCTACTTTTGAACTTATGCACAGCGGATGCAACCAGCCACTGATAATTAGTAACACTCATTGTAAAATCAGAAACCAACGTATATCAGAATGCAATTCCTTAACTCTTGTGTTGACATATTTTTCAACTAGAATAAAATACAATAGGAATTTAGCAATAGCTTTTGGTTATGAAAGGTTTCTGGAGGTGCCACTGGTTAAAATGTCTTGTTCTGTATTATTATTTTTAGCTAGGAAAGCCACAAACACTAAAAAATACAGAATTACACCACATGCTGGGCTTCTAACAAACGACTTTTCAAGCGATTTCACCGTTGAAATGTTGGAATAAAATCATGAGAGTCTTGCTAGAGTTGTGTCGCACTCGCGTCATCTTGATTGTTTCATGTAAGGTGGTCAGGATGGTGGTCTTAAGTGCAAGACAGAGAGAGAGTGTAAGGAGGACAATGCATGCGTGAGTGCCTGAAAGCTCTGTAAAAAAAGGTGAATCTACTCCACTTTAAAACAATCACATTAATCTAAAAATAAGAACTAACAGAAGCATCAGTGTTACAGTGGTTCCTTATTTTGTTTGTTTGTTTTTATGGTTTAGTTCATAACACCCAACACTGGGTGATGATCTGCCAGTATATACAGTTCTACAGTGAACTGGGCTGAGCATCCCAGCCAGCGTGTGTTCCCATTCATACCACTACAGAGCAGAGAAGGAAAAGGCTTTTCAGAGTCTTCAGAGTCTTCTGACCATTTTATTTTTATATGTCTTTTCCTATCAGTAGGCCTAACTGACACCTTTTGTATAACGTACTTCAGAAAATGAAAGTGTTTCCATGCATTTGGTTATTTTACTGTTTCTATTTCTCATCTGAGCACAGCGCGCTCAGGAGGATCTTACTTTCATTTAGTCGTTAACAGGAACTTCTGAGAAGCGGAGGAGGAGGAAGAGGAGGAGGAGGAGGTTAGTCATCTGAATAAAACAGAGCGCTAAATAAAGAATTACAAAGTCGTTTTTAACCATCACAACCAAACGGCGTCTTTATTTTCATTTCTACTTACAGAGGCGGCAGATCCCCCAGTCCTGAGACATGTTCCCCCGAGACCACCAGCACATCCTCAGCCGTCTCCTCCAGCCCACCCTCCGTTCTGAGCAAACAAAAACCTGGAGGAACAAAGACCATCTTTTTACTTTAACATCTCCCGCTCAGCACTCACATGAATTCGTGTGTGTTTTTAAGTGACAAAGTGCCCCTAAGGAGCCGCAAAGGTTTAAAAACGAATGATTTTTCATGGAAACTCAACACTTTTGCGAGGAAATGCAAAATAAAAGCAAGTGAACGAACCGCTGTTGCAGTTTTTTTTTTCGCAATGGCACTTTAAAGTAAAAAAAAATCTTGAATAAAAAAATAGTGATAATAATAATAATAATAGTATTTTTTCTATTTTTCATCCGTTAACCAAACGCTGAGGTAACGTTACCGTTAGCAAGTTCATATTCTGGGTTTAAACTACAGCTAAACTCTCATATTAGCTGTGCTGTTAAGTGAAAGTCAAATATATTTTACAAAATAAGACAAAAATAGTTAATTTACTACCTTTTTAAGGATAGGCTGAGGTAAAGTAGTGAGTTTAATCCGTTTTTTACAAACTCAGTTCATTCTAGGTGTCCCTCGGTGCAGCAGCTCTCTCTGCCTGATTAGCTCTCAGCTAAACTGTTACTCACCATCTTATAGACCGCGGGCTAATCTGGTTCACGCGTTACGCGCTGAGAGATGAGGTTAAATCAGAGTCTGAGAGGAGCTCTCCGAGCTTTTATCACCATATTAGAGTAAGGTGACTCTGAAGTGTGAGGCGGCTCTCTCAGTGAGTTATAAGAACCCGGTGTGGGGTCTCAGACTCACGGGGGAATATTTTCCCACACCGACTCAAAGCTCAACCACACTGAACAAATTAGATTAGTGTTTTACTCTTCATTAACATACCTGGGCCCATATCCGCCCGATTAACCGTTTTAAATGACTAGTTATGACCTTGTCCTTTAGGCTGTATCATCACATTGTCTACATGTCTAATACATTCAGTTATTAGGCTAAATAACTATGACTGGTAAAATGCATTATACCGTTCAATAAGAGCTGTTAGTTACTAAAGATATGAATTCTTAACTGCTAAGATTAATACAGGGATGATTATATGAATGTAAGTCCACTCACCAGAGTCAGTGCCTCCACTCTGCTGGAGAGTCAGAGGAGGGCTCACTCTTTTATTCTGACTGAAAACGAAAGTATGGTGGATTAAACTGAGGGCTGGAATCACCGTCCCTGTACACGAGTACAGCTACGCGTTTTCTCTGGGGAATTTCATTCACTTGTTACCAGAACTGATCAAAAGACTGTTCATGACTGTTTTTTTTTCCCCTTTTTTAATTGCAACCCACAAGAAATGTCACAGAACTTAAGTAGCTGGAAGCAAACGAGCCTTTTCCAAGGTGACAGCTGGCTGAAGAAAGCCAGCCCTCTTGAGAAAATGTCATTCCTTGTGTGCATCATGAAGAGAGAGATTTCAACCTTATTACTGACATCTAAGAAAAGTCTTACCTATAAGTTACAACAGACCGACAGTGAGCTCTGCAAGGATTTGGAGAGTCAGTTATTTTTTGGCTCTTTGAAACTCATAGACAGACTATGAGAGGTGAAGTGTAGACTGCCAGCTACACTGTAATCCTGCATTTTGTTTTAACTCAAATAAATTAAGTCTGTTGTACATACAACTCAGTATATCCCAAATATTGCTCAACAATTTTAAGTTAAGCGAATCTTTTTGATGATTTTGTACACTCAAATGGCATTTTTGAGTTAAATTAATTCATCACTGTTTAGTTTAGTCTGTTGCCATTGACAGATTTTTCATATTCAGCTGTGTGACCTTGTGTTGTTGGCTAAAAGTGAAGGTTATCGTTCTCTTTGCTGATGATTCAGGATTTGTGTCGGTCAGTGACCATGTACACATCAAAGATTAACCCCATATCATCATGCAACTGTAACTGTACACCGATCAGGCATAACATTATGACCACCTCCTTGTTTCTATGCTCATTGTCCATTTTATCAGCTCCACTTACTATATAGGTGCACTTTGTAGTTCTACAATTACAGACTGTAGTCCATCTGTTTCTCTGCGTACTTTGTTAGCCCCCTTTTACCCTGTTCTTCAGTGGTCAGGACCCCCATGGACCCTCACAGAGCAGGTGCTGTTTGGGTGGTGGTTCATTTTCAGCACTGCATTAACACTGACGTGGTGGTGGTGTGTTAGTGTGTGTTGCGCTGGTCTGAGTGGATCAGACACAGCAGTGCTGCTGGAGTTTTTAAACACTCACTGTCCACTTTATTGGACACTCCTGCCTTGTCAGTCCACCTTGTAGATCAGAGAGAGATAAGTCAGAGACGATAGCTCATCTGCTGCTGCACAGTTTGTGTTGGTCATCCTCTAGTCCTTCATCAGTGGTCACAGGACGCTGATGGCTGGATATTTTTGGTTGGTGGTCTATTCTCAGTCCAGCAGTGACACTGAGGTGTTTAAAAACTGAAGACATTTTCTACTGTGTTGACCAGAAAAGACACCTTGATGCACCATATTATTATTAACACTGGAATATTACAACAGGAAAGACTGTATTCAGTTGTGTGGGAGGAAGCTGTGTAGAAAACAGAACAAAGTGCTGATGCTCATCATGCTCCACTGAACCACATTAAAGGGGAATTACACTCATTTTTTTAAATTTCTGGATTATTAATGGGGGATTCCATCGATTTCCCAAATTTTTTTCTAAATTCATACCCCAAGCAATTTAGGGTAGTTTGGTGTGAAATGGTGTATTGTAGAGAAACTTACTGACTCAGATGTCTGTACAGTAGTGCTGAACCAGGGGTTACAATGTCTACAACACAAATATAGCCATTTTATTTACTCCCCAAAACAAACTGTGAACTTACACATATCTCCTAAGTTTTCATATGTAATGTTGAATATGGTCAAATAATGGTAAGGGTGAAAAATAAGTTTTGTTTGGGTCTATTTTGCCTTACAACACCTTGCATGTACCTCTCCACCTTGAATGGGTTTTAACAGTACGTTCTCGGCTAAAATCTTATCTCAAAATTATTGAAAAATGTCTCAGGCATCTGGTAATATTCATAACCGCTTCATCTAATAGAAGCATTAAATGCGTCAGATACAGGGGTGTAGTTAACTTTTAGAATGGGGTGGCCAGGTAAAACCCAGAGATTTCATAGCACTACCATATTAAAATGACATAAAAAGTGATGCACTTTTTATCTCTGTACATAACTTAATTTAGCTATCAACTACTGGTAATACAACTACTGCTGAAAGTAAACTAAAAGACAAACTATGTTGATGTAACATATTTTAGTAATTTTTGAGGAAGTAATGTATTTGAGTCAACCTAAAACACATGTATGTATTCAATGGTAAAATGTAACTACTAAGCATAATAATAATAATAATAATAATAATAATAATAATAATAATAATGATTATAACTTTTTAAAAAACTTATCTTACCATCGCCCAGTTCATAATGTAGCTCACAGAGCATAACTGCTGAAGGGACCTTGTGCACTTTAACTTACCTGCTTGCTGAATAAAATGAACAAGATAGGCTAATCATTAAATGCACCATCATCATACTCTTATAACTGGTAACTGATGGTAGATTTTTTTTTTTAAATGAAGCATAATTAATGCTGTATTAATGATGGCTGTCTCACTTTCCATAACTGAAGTGGCCAGAAGGATTGTCTTCAGGGGCGATTTAATGTACAGGCTTACCCCGTATGGGTTTCGAGTAATTCATGGCCCTGATTGGCCTTTTTTTTGCTGAGATTTATTTTATTATTTATTTATATTTTATTATAGATTCTTTCTACCCAGATTGATAACAGGACTACTTATTTAGGGTTTGATGTATTTGATTTAGACAGGGGTGGAATGAGTACTTAAAATCCCTACTTGAGTAAGAGTATTGTTACTGTAATGAAAATTTACTTGAGTGCAAGTAAAAGTATTAATAATAGAAATTACTGATGAAAGATTAAATAAGTAGTTTTTGGAAAACTACTTCAGGAACCAAGTTACAACCAAAATAATATTTCTGAACTGACTGGGCGATATCATTGGAAATAATCTGTACAAACAAAACTAAAACAAACCATGATATTATTGAAAAAAAGTTTTGAGTGCTGAGACTGATCACCATATCACACTCCGCTAGTGCACATTCACCCATCTCCACTGTGTGAGGAACAAGGTTTGCATTAAATTACATGCATTTCAGGGTTAGATGATAATTTAAGACCTTCTAGTTTATCTGTCTCCAACAAAGTAGTTTAGAATCTCTGAAAGGCTGTGCAGAGTTTGTTACTGTTTAATTTTATTTTTTTTGTTTGTTTTTTTGGTTTGGCCTTTAAAAAAATGATTACTTGATTATGAATGAAAATAACAGGTAAACTACTTAATTAATAATGTAATTTTTAGTGACTGCCTATCAGCTCCCTGAATGTTAGCTTACATAGCTTACATGACTCATAGGTGTCGACCTACACTGACAGTAGACATTATGTGTATAGAACATTTCTACCATTAAAATCATTTGTAATGTTAAGGGAGATGAAGAGGCGGGATACAAGTGCAAGTCCTTGGTTTTATTAAAAATGCATGACAAAAGGGTGTCCACAAAGGTGACAAAACAAAAACTGATCACTACTGAATAAAATACTGGAACAGAAAGAAAACCATAGCCAAAACACCAAACAAACACAAAACACACAACCAGGGGTATAAAAACACATAGAACAAATCAGAAACACCTGGGACTAATCAGAGGGTGGAGCTACAGACAACAGACAGGTGAGACAGATGACAATAAGGCAGGATCAGGAGGAGACAAAGACTAGAACAACAACACAAGCACATGGCCTACGTAAACAAAAGCACATGGAACAAGAAAACAAAGACTGAAACAGAGAAAGACAAGGACAGGGCAAGACAGGGTGTTACATCATCAGCAACAACAACAATTTAGTATTGCTGATTTTATTTCCAGTGTTATATATACAAAAACAGACATTCATTTCATTTTAGTTCACAGTTAAAGTTAATCAGCTAAACAGCCTCTCACAAAGAGAAACACAAAGGCAGAGAGAGAGAGAGAGAGAGAGAGAGAGAGGCTGTAGTCTCTGATGAACTGACTGAATAAAGTCTCTGATGATGTAGTATTATCTGTGCAGTGAGGTCAAGGACTAAATATATTTTGTAAATTAATTTCTAAGTAAGTGTGCGGTCAGGTGCGGTAACTTTACAGTTTTTTACAGTAACTTTGTATTTTTTCTACAATCAGACCAAACAATGATCTGAATATTATGCCCTGATGTCTCTAATCGCTCATTATTCAGGTAAGGTGATCTTTGTTTGTCTGTCTGCTTACAGTGTGTGCGCGATAGAAGAATTTCATACCACCACCGCTCCCACCCCTCTGCCGCAGTGTGATCAGTCTGGGGGTCCTGTGGGGGCCAGGTCACTGTAATTAACCTCTTAGACTCCCTGAATGTCTCAAAATCAAAATTGTGGGGGATCCCTGAAAATAATCTTATTATGATGTTATGTAGATATCTCTGAAATACTTTATAATACACTATAGAATATTGGTAAATCTGAACAAAGACGTTGGTGGAAAGAGTGAATTGTTTGATTTCTCATACCAAACCCAGAAGAGCAGATGTGATCTCAATTAATGTGTGGAAGAGCATGTAAGTTTCGCAGCCAGTCAAAGCTGGAGTAGCCAGCCATCATGGGACCCCCTGAATATTAGGGGGTATTTTACATAACACACTGATTGGTTCCAAAATTCAAACATCCCCTGAGGGCAGAACAGAATGTTATTATTACTGTATTTTCATTCAATAATAAAAACAAATGTGGCTTAGATTATGTTCATATAACTTTGGGTGATAATTCTGAATATGTTTTAGAGAAGAAAGTAACAGAGGATGACCTCAGCACTGATTCTAGTTATAAAGCAAAGCAAAGTCTGACTATCATGTAATAATTAATACTATTTTAGATTATGCAGTTAATTTTTATATGCTGAAAAATTCTTAATCTGATCTTGGCCTCGACTCGGACTCAGCTCTAGAAGTCTTGACCACAATGCTAGTGATTTGTTTGAATTCCCAGA